TATATATTTACATGTATATATACATAACAGTTAATGCCTAATTTTTGTTTCTTTTAGAGCAATTTTGCATACTTATATCTGTTAATCTGAACAACTAATTTAAAGACAGCAATATGCAATATAACAACCACTGGTGAATTCCTACCATCTTGTCTAATGACATTCTGTATCATTTCTAATGGGTTTTTTGTTTTTATTTTTTATTCTCTTTAATGGTTTGATCAAACCTGCATTCTTACAGCTGGTAATCTGAGCAACTTTGTTGAAGATAACAATATGTAATATAACAACCACTGTTAATTCCTACCATTTTGTTCTGAAGCCCTGTATCATTTTTATTGTTTTTGCTTTGTTTTGTTTTTGTCTATGTTGTTGGTATTTTGCTATTGTTCTTTTTTATTATTCTCTTTTAAAAATGAATAAATAAATAAATAACTTAAAAGTTTCAATTTCCTTAAATGCTTTATAGAAGCAAATGACAAACAAGTTTAGGCTACTATCTTCTGCATCCCAAATTTACACCACATAACAAAAGAGGCAGGGGAGAGGCAGAGGTCGACAGAGACAGAGAAATAGAGACAGAAACAGAGGCAGAGACAGAGAGAGAATATCACATCAAACACACATAAGCAACTAAATTTAAGCATCAAAACATGAGGAAGGAGCTGGGCATGGTGGCGCATGCCTGTAATTCCAGCACTCAGGAGGTTGAGGCAGGAGGATTGTTGCAAGTTCGAGGCCAGCCTGGGGTACTAAGCGAACTCCAGGCCAGGCTGAACTGCATAGTGAGACCCTGTCTCAAAAAGACAAAAAAAAAAAAAAAACCCGAGGAAGTCCTGGGGGAGACTAGAGACTGTTGAACTGGTACTTGTGTTTGGGTAATGGTAGGAAAGTGGGTGAGGGCCGAGGCATGCATAAGTGACTTATGACAGCCTGAGTTGGAGGAATGCTTTTAATTGCTGCCTCTAAAAAACTGCACATAGCCCAAGTTAACACTGCAAAAGCAGAAAAGTAGAGATATTATGGCTGTAGAGACTATACTAATAACAGCCTGGCTTTCAAAACATTATTTTGACGTAGTATAAACATTGCACTAGAAATGGAATAGTGAGTATAAGAATAAGTAACTTGGGGCTGGGGATATAGCTCAGTGGCATAAGCGCCTGCCTGGCAAGTGCAAGTTCCTGAGTTCCAGCCCTGGTACAGCAAAAAAAAAAAAAAAAAAAAAAAAAAAGAATAAATAACTTGTGGTAGCATTAGTCTATAATCAAAGAAGAGCCTCCCCTTCAGCCTCATGGGACTGTGGGCATCAGGCCCTTGGTCTGAGTGAAGAGATTGAGGTTCAGAGCCAGTGGAGTCCAAGATCCACAAGGAACCAAGGAGATGACATCAAGGAGGATGGAAGGGACCTAGAGAATCATTTTCTGTACCTGCTGACACCTTCCCAGATGTGATGTCCACTGACTGTGGAGTAGTCCAGTCAGATCTAAGTGGGGAACTTTCTCTGAGTTACTGGTTCAAGGGAGGGGAACAGAAAGGATCGGGGTACACTTAGGATTCAAGGTGAGCAGAGACAACAGGCTGAGGAAGCCCTACCCCATAGGGAGGCTCAGCAAAATACCCAGATCTACACCTGTTGCAAGCCCTGGAGCACACAGGGGCTACATTGTTACAATGAGCCTCAGACTGTGTACCCTGGGAGGTAGATACATAGTGTCAAGGGAATCCAATCAAGTCCGTAGAGGTAGGTGGTTCAGGCTCTGCTAGGAACCAAGTAGCTAACCTCCAGTCAGGAAGGGGGAGACCCTGAAAATTCCGTTCCGCTCCTTCTGTGAGCTCTGGGAGACCCTGGGCTCCTTCCCGGATGTGAGGTCCGCCAACGGCCGCGGCGGCGGCTTCGGGTCGGAGCTGCTGAGGTCCGGTTCTGAGGCGCCCGGCTTCAGGTAAGGAGAATTGTGTGGGTGGGCTCAGTTAGGGCGCAACGTGACAGGCTATGGGGGAGTACGGAAGCGGAGAGAGGGTCCCCCCAAATCGAGATCCGCCTCCGTACTGAGCCTTGCAAACCGAGAAGGAATTCTCGGCGGGGACCACCGTTCACTCAGGGCCCCAGACAGCAGAGTCAGAGCCGAGTTTTGAGGGTCGGGCTTCAGGAGGATTGGACAGGAGCTAGGGTGAGTTAGGTCAGGCGAAGGCTGGGGCGGGGTGGGTGGAAGAAGCCGTGCTCCAGAGAGAAGGTCCCCGAACATTCTAGAAAAGCCTCCATTTTTGCCCAGCACCACCTGGCGCAGAATTCTCAGGACAGCGCCACCTCTGGCCGCAATGAGAACTGCATGTAGAATTCAGACCCCTGTTTTCAGATCCTAGCTTCAGGTGGGAGGAACAGAGAGGTCGCGGCTTAATTGGGTAAAGGTACGCAACTGCTGGGGAAACTGTAGAAGGCACACTCCGGAGCAACAGTCTACGAACTACGTAGAAAAGCCTCTGTTGGGGCTGGGGATTTAGCTCAGCGGCACAGCACCTGCCTGGCAAGCGCAAGGTCGTGAGTTCAATTCCCGTACCGGAAAGAAACCGCAAAAAAAAAAAAAAAAAAAAAAAAAAAAGCCAGCCTGAAGCTTTCTTAGGATTTAGGCTGAGACATAAGCAGCAGAGCACCCCGTTTCCCTCCCTGGGACCTGAGAGGAGAGTGAGAGCCTAGTTCTGGTCCTCGCCTCAGGTGGGAGGAGCAGAGAGGACGCT